AAACTTCGATAGAAAATTTATTTTTGTAAACATTTCATTAGAGAAAAAATTATGTCACTTTTCGACAAAAAGTATTCCGATGAAAAAATAATTTTGTGACGAAATTTTCATCGTTTGCAACGTAGAAATTTCATCGAAAATGTGATCTTTTTTAGTATTGTTAAAATTAGTGATTTGTCATCTTAAGATGGGAAGAGCGTTCTCTCATCCTTTACTTTTCATTAATTTTCACTAATTTTGCTTCACTTGTGCAGGGGCTTAAAATTACATTCCTTTTTTTTTTTAGACAAAATTACATTCCTTTATTTATTCAATAAATATCAAATTTATTATAAAATTTATATATTTTAAAACAAATAAATAATTAAATTACATGAGTTTAAAAAAAATCAATAACTATAAAAAAAAAATCAAATTAAAAACATGTTTTGAAACCAAGTCAAAAACGGGTCAGGTCGAATTTGACCCACTTCAGAAACCAAGTCAGGTCAGATCTGACCCGGTTCTAAACTAGTTCAAAAAAATCCAAACCAAGCCAGACCTGACTTGGATCAAATTAAAGCGGGTCTGATCAAATTACCTGACCTATAAAAACCAAGTTGGGTCGAGTCGGCACAAAAACCTGACCCGTCCTAATCCATGCACACCCCTACCTCAAAGGTTCTACTCGATCACGGTACAATCCAGATACTAGTGGAAGAAATAAAGTACTACTGGATCATAATCTCATTGAATCTACGCCAACCTCTCCAATATTTGTTGCGATCAAGGCAAAACGGTTGCTCGAGAGGGCTGTGTGGAATGATACTGAATTCCTTGCTGTAAGTCTTAAGTACCTTTCTTAACATTCATTCTTTACCGTGTAGAATTGAGGTCTGCCTTCTTTTGGTAATATAATATTGTGTATATTGTTGCAGTCAATAGATGTAATGGACTATTCATTGCTGGTTGGCGTGGATGAGGAAAAACATGAGCTGGTTTTAGGTATCAGTGATTTTATGAGGCAATATACATGGGATAAACAACTTGAAACTTGGGTGAAGACTTCAAGCATACTTGGTGGACCTAAGAATACTTCTCCAACAGTTATATCACCTCAACTGTACAAGAAACAGTTCAGGAAAGCCATAAGTTTATATTTTTTATGGTGCCAGATCAATGGTCTCCTCTAGAGTTACACCCCAATGGAGTGGTCACATGTAAGGTCCCGAAAAAATAAATTAAACAAATGGTGTTGAAATTATTGTCACTAATTTTTATTTGAGTTAGAAAAAATTGGAAAAAAAAACCCTTTTACTTTGCAATCTAGTCTTTAATAATTCAGATCAATGTTATGGAGCCTGATTATGATTAAGGAAGAACAACCTCTAATCACTCCCCCACACGCTGCCATTCCTGAATTCCCTTTGACCGCTCCCCCACAATCTCTAATCACTTTACTTAACAATCTCTAATCATCATTTTCTAATCTCTAATCATCGAGTTTATTTAAGTTTTTTTATCTGATTGTATAAATTGGGGCTTTGGGGATTTTTATTTGGGGCTTTGATTATTAAGTCTGTGTCTGAATATTGTATCCTTTTTCTTTCTATTTTCATAGTGCAAGTGCCAGGGAGTGGACTCCTTGATTGATCCTTGACGTAGGAAACTTGGTAAAACAAGTTTCTGAACAAGTAAAAATCCTGTGTGTTTTTCCTCTTTTCTTTTTTTTTGCCAAAAAGAAATCTGCATTCTTCCACTGAATTTCAACATGAAGTTTTGTTTTCTTTGTAGTGTCTGTCTTGTTCAAAGCAACTTTGTGGTGCAACCCGACCCTGTTCTATTTTGATGTGTATTGGTATGTGTAGAGAATTGAAATATTGTGATTGCTGGAAATTTCAGTAATGTTTTGGATAGACTGTGCTGAAATGTTGATGTAAAAGTTATGTCATGTTAATAAGTATTCACTATGCTTGTGTTATTGGATCTTAATGTTTACTCTTCAAAAAAATAAAAATAAAATTTGTTTCAATGAAGTGAATTAGATCATGGAAGCCATTACTAGAAAGAATTTACTTGAATCTAGAAATATCATATTGATTTCCCTATTAAAGTGATGTGCCTGTAGATTGCAGTTTAAACTTTGCAGGGCTGCACGACTAATCTTCACTAATAATAAACCCAAATGATGAAGGGCTCCTAACATATAACTTTTATCATAACATCCCAAAAATTTTATATCCAATTAATGTATTTCAATACCCCATTTATTGTTAATTAACTGGCTTATAACATCATTTTTAGGTTCAAATAGACGGCTTGTTTGAAGTAAAAATAAAGAGACAAGGTAAAGATTTGTAATGGAAAAGTTTTTTTTTTATTATTGATGCCTTATGAAGGATGAATAATATTAATTACTTGAATACTATAAATATTAACTAAATGAAGACATTTTAATCTCCAAAAATAAAAAACAAATACAGTTAACTCAAATCATATTCACTAAAGAAATAGGAATTACATCAAAGAATTTACTCCCAGAAAAAACTCCAAGATAAGGGTAACTTTCACAACAGTTAATTGGAAAATCTTTGGGGGCCAGAGGATAAGCCAAAAAATCTTCGGTTGGGGGATTAGTCTCGTCCTTTCTCCGGTTGCGAAGCTTAGTGCACCCACTGTTACAATGAGGGGCTAGCCCAAACGGGTCGTACCCCGAGGGCATGGTGCCCGGAGAAGGTTGAATGGGGATACCTCCTGGCAATGTACCAAAAAAAAAAAAAAAAAATAAAGAGCAAGGGTAAAGATGTGTGATGTAGAAGTTTATATATTTATTTGTTGATGCCTTATGAAGGATGAGTAATATTAATTACTTGAATACTATAAATGTTAACAAAATGAAGAGAGTTTGATTTCCAAAAAATAAAATAAAAAATGAAGGCAGTTAACTCATACAATGTCCATTAAAAAATATGAATTACATCAAAGAATTTACTCCAAAAAAAGACTCCAGGATAGGTGTAACTTCCAAGATTTTTATATTTCTAGATTCTCGGTGAATCAAAAGGAATTAAATGAATGATCCAAAAGTTAAGCATCAAATCTCATTGCTCCATCCACCAATATCATCTCATTATGAGCCTGCATCATAAACCACTTTCAAGAAATGATGCGAATAAAATAAATGTTAAGTGCTTTCATTTTAGACTAAGTGGGGTGTATTCGATTAGGATTTTAAAAGACTTTCTTGAGATAAAAAAATCTTATAGATTTTAAAAGACTATTAAGAATTGGAGAGACTTTAAAGACTTTTTTAAAAGATTTTTTTACAATTAAGATTTCATAAGATTGGATTTTAATATAATTTATAAGATTTGAAAGGACAATACGGATTTATAAGTTTTTAAAAAAACATATGAATTTTTAACAAACATTCAAAATTACTAAGCAACAGCTCTTCACAAATCTAAAGTTATACTAGTCTTCCACTCATTAGTATTTTCTCGTTCCTGCTGTTGGAATTGACCAATTGGTTGAAAATTATCTTTTTTATTTGGTATCAAAGCTATGCATATATGATTGTAAGACCTAATTTTTTAATTATTAAAATAATTTTATATTTGCAAATAGAACCTAAAGTTCATGATAAAATTTCGTTTGGGGGGTTTTGTTCTACATAATGAGAGTTTTCTAACCATATATCATATGCGTATTTTCATTGAATATTCTAAGAAAATTTCGAATATAAATTTCTGGGTTTTATTACGTGAAAGTTTAGAAAAAATTTCAAATTTTTTTCAATCGGTATATTGAAACCTTAAATTGCTTTGGGGCTTTTGAAAAATAACTTTTTAGTTATCTATTGACACAAAAATTATTTGAAATCGTTTCCTATAGTGAAGGAATTTCGTTCATGAATATATTGTTACGAAATATATGGTTCATATTATGAAAGTATCAATCTTTCTTTAAATTGATATTGTTTCATTTATGTAAAACGAAATTTGGTTTGAGCATTTTAGTTCCCCTGTTATATTCTCACTATTTTATGTTATTTTTAATACAAAAATCACACATTTTAGTGCCAAGAAAAACAGCAACCCATAACTTGAAAAATTATTTTTTAAACTTCCAAAATTTCTCAAAAATGGCTAAAAAATATGTTATTTTTGAGATATAGATTATGTTAAAATCTCGTTGATTTGTTGTTTCTGAATTATTTTGTGATGAAATTCAGCTCAAAAATATGCTATTTTTAAGTTTTGACGAAGCTCCTATGGCGAAACCTGATTTCAAGTGGGTCAACCTGCCAAAGGAAGAAGAAAACACTGCAATCGAGAAATCTCAAGAAATCCTAGGGGTTAGGGTGAGATTGTGAGAAAAGCATCCTATTTATTTTTCTTACTAAAAAGTCTCACTAAATCCACACCAATAGAAAATCCATTAAAATCGTTAGATTTTTGAATACCACAAGATTGTTTTTCCATTGTTTAAAATCTTGATAAAATACCAATAGATTTGGACGGACTCTAAAATAATCTTTTAAAATCCTAATCGAATACCACATGACTTTTTTCAATCCATTGAAGTTCTAATTGAATACCAATGATTTTTTTGTCCAAAAATAATCCATTAAAATCTTTTGAAATCTCAATCCAATACACCTCCCTAAAGCTAGAACCTAATTATAGCACATTATAAGCATAACCCTTTACAGTCACACACACAAACCATAATAAGATACACATGATCATATATAACAAAAACTCTTATATCTTGTCCTCATTTTGCAATATTTGGTTGACTTTTAAAGTCAAACATCCATGAACACCTAAAAGTAATAATCATAAAATTGAAAAAAAAAATACAATGTAACTCTAAGCATTAAAAGTAATTTATATCATGGTTTGAATTAGGTTAGGCAATGCTAATGGTATCAGAAAAAAATTTAAAGCATGAAAAAAATGAAAGTGTTAATTTCTCTTAAAAAATGAACAAATACAAGAATATTGAAACCATGCCTTTTAGATCCTATCATTATTTATATCATCCAAGGACCCAAAAATATCCTCCTCAACAGGTTCTTCTTGGGGCATTGTTCGCTGCGAAATGTAGGCATCATTTGACATTATTCTTTCCTCAAAATAGAATTTCTCAACTTCTGTAGAATGAGTGATTAATGGAGTAGCCTCATTCGATTGGACAACCAATGATGCATTAATTCTCTTGCTGCAAACTGTATTATTTTGGTCTAAACTATGCCTCAATGAACTAGGGTCCTCATTCAATTGGCAATGCAGCTTCCTTCTTTTAGCATTCTCCAAAGGAATAGCAACATCACTTGTGGAAGAAAAATCAACTAGATTGTTGCCTGTATGATAAGCGGAGGAGGAAAAATTCAAGCTATTATGAGGTTGTTTATCATTGTATAAAACCTCACCAGAAGGAGAAGAGTTGTCATGAAATCCAGATGAAACCATAAATTCACTTAACCCACTAATTGGATTAAATTGCCTAATACTAGTTGTATAGTTGCACTGCTTGAATTGGTTAAGCTCATTTGATTTCGGAATGCCATGTGATAAACTTGAGCTTTGATTTGTAGAAAACTTGGGCAACTGGATGTTTCCAAGTGTTTTGATGGAGCTATTTATATTTTGTGACTGAACAGGCTGGATTAGCGTAGAGGAACTAATTTCTCTCCAGTTCAAGCCAGATGGACAGTTCAGGTTACAGAAATTTCCACCCGATGCATTTAAAGGTTGTGTAGTGTTTAAGATTCTTCCTGATACAGACGATGTGCTAAAATCTCCATATGTATCTATTGAACTCATCTGCATGTGAGGATTACTACGACCAAATGCAACAATTGTGCTAGCTTGTTGAGTTTCCTTCTTAAGGGCAAGTCTATATTTCTGCAATACAAAATGAAAGGGAGCTTATGCATAATTATCAAAGAGTTGTACATTTTTCATGGACACCTATATTTTCATAAATTAACATTGTTCAAAATTTTAATGAATCATTAAATCTAGATGATTATTAAACCATCATTTATTAAAAGTTAAAATGTAGATTATCCCTCTCAACTTTGATCTTGTGCTAAAATTGAAACCAGAGGGTTCTATATGCCAAAAGGTGAGGATAATTTGCATTTTAACTATAAATAATCCAAAAATTAATGATAAATGATAAATTTAAAATTCATACCTGCAGATGGCTTGCAATATTTTCTCTTGTAAGACCTTCAACATTCATCAAGTAAAGTATTTTCTTAGGAACAGCTTCTGCAATAGTAGTTGGAGAAAGTTCATATTAGAAATGATAATATCCATGTTGAGGTATCAAGTAGGCACATTTAATTTACATATATTCTCATGTAAAATAAAAAAAAAAGTAAATATCCATTATTATAAAAACTTACCCTTAACGCCCAATTGATTAACTGCAACAAGAAATTTTGTATGCAAATTAGTATTCCAATTTAAACGAGGCCTCTTTTTAGTTGAAGCTTCTACAGTCTCTTTTTCATTATCTTCTTCATCTTCTTCTTCTTCCTCACTTGGTTCCTTCCTTTTTTGACCCAATATTTTATCATGGTCAACATTATTTTCTAATGAAATGCCTTGACTGCCTTCCCTATCTATATTGCAGGATTTATCCCCATTTGGGGGCTTATTCTGATCCTTGCAATTAATCTTCCTTCGCACCACATGTTGCCATATGTTCTGCAGCACTTCAATTCGAGGAGGTTTAATTAAGTAGTCACATGCGCCATGTATAACACCTTTCTTCACTCGCTCTTTGTCACTGTATTCTGACAACACTATATCACAAAACATAATAAAAAAGCAACAACTCAAGTTAATTGGTGAATTCATTCCATTATTTTGAGAGAACACATGTTTATCATTCTAGATTTATCTCCAACTATAGGAAGAACAAATAAAAAATTAAAATAAACTAAATTTAGAAATTGGAAATTTTTCACCAGTTAAATACCAATATTAATCTCAAAATAAGAAAAATTAAATATCAAGTCAAATAATGTTAAGACAAGAGTGTTTGAGCTTACTATGACTGGTATGTCCATTTCAAGTCCCACTATCTCAAGGAGCTTAAATCCATCCATGTGTGGCATATTTACGTTAGTAATAATGAGGTCAAACTTATTTCTATTTTCCCTCAACATTTCTAGCGCCTTAGTTGATTGAGTAGTTGTAGTAACTGCAGCAAAAGTAAATTATATGTGAAATTTGCTCAAAATTGTACAAGGAAAAGACCCTATATTGGATCAAGGTATATCAATTCATCTAATAACAAATGCTTACTCAGAATAAGAGGATTTATAGTTCTAACAGTAACGTTGCAAAAACAAGAATTTTTTTTATAAATGTTCAAATTTCAAAAGAAGTTTTAATCTTAGGAGATTTAAGAAAATGCCCGTCTTGCGAAAAAAATAAAAAATTTAAGTTAAAAATTAAGGAAAGGGAAAACTTTATAAATGCCCAGAACATATCTCTTAGAATAAAAAATGTCGCTAACTTTTTTTTAATCAATAATACTTTTAATATTTAAAACCCTCGTACCCCTTCGCTAATTTCAAATAACACTATTAAATATTATCATATTGTGATTATTTTGTCATTCAGTTATTAAAAATACAAGAATATAATTGGTAAATAATTGTTGAAATTGAATTATTTTGATAAATCAGCCCCATATTATATGAAATTCACTTTAAACTTTGATGGTCAAATAATCTAATCATTTACCACTATTAATATAATTAAATTTTAATACTCAGAACTTTATTAGTATTTAGTTTTTTAAAATTACAATATTAAAATTTTCACATTGTGATTATTTTGATAAATCAACCCAATATTATACGAAACTCACTTTTAAACTTTGATGACCAAATAAATGTAATCATTTAGGACTATTAATTTAATTAAATTTTTACCCTTGAAATATTTTAATATTTAATTGCTTTATTAAAAAATCTATTATTTCCATTCAATAAAATAATTCAACTTCTATTAAAATTTTTAAAACTAAACAAAATTTATCTCAGCGTGTATTATATAATAAAACTTGTAATCTTTATTTATAAAAATTTAATGCATAATAATATTCACTTACATAAAATTAGAATATATTATCAATAAAAATACAAAAAATAAATAAGTATTATATGAATATCTTGTTCATTAAAACTTATAAGAATAGGATTGAAGGATAATAGAATTTATAAATAAAGCAAAACACAATACTTAATGGGTATTATATTGATATATTATACATTTTCTAATTTATTAAAAAATTAATATACTTTTGATTTCTATTAGTTTAAAAATTTAGAAAAATAATTATAAAAAAAATCAAATTTAAAAGTTGATAATATGAAAAAAAAATTACAAATCAATAAAAAAATTGTTAATTAAAAATGAAAACAAAACGTTACGTAAGAACGTTTATATCATATATTGATCTTTTTTAAGAATTGGAGTTATATGAATAAATATAATATGTAAATATCAGTATATGCTTAATTAATAGTAACGTTCATTCAATTTACTAATGTTATGATTCGGAAAGTGAGTTTTGTATAATATTGGGCTGATTTATTAAAATAATTTAATTTTAAGAATTATTCATCGATGTAAGATAGAAATCAACCTATGTAATTTTGAACTTTTAGACAATTAAAGAGTAAAATAAGCATAATTTGATAAAATTGAAATGTGTTATTTGAAATTAAGAGAGGGGTATAAATGCTTTATATATCAGGGGCCATTATTAATTAAAAAAATATTAGGGACATTATTTTATTAATATAATTAGGGGCATTTATAAATTTTTCCAAAAAAATTGTCAAATGATGTATTTGACGACTACGAGGGACTAGGCACTTTGCATAAATAATTTTTCTTTGCAATCTTTACCCTCAATATTAAAGACATGCTATAATTGCAAATTCAGCTATAAATTTTTTTAAATCAATATAAGTAATTTTTTTCTTATAAAACTACTTGTTTGAATGTTCCAATTCACGTATGTGGAATTTTAAATATTAACTTTGATCATCAATTAATTAATATAATTTTCATACATGAAATTCTTATATTGAAGTTATATATATCATTATCCTCCTAATTTTTAGTCCACCTTATTTGTTCAATTACAAATTACTC